GTGAGCGTATGTCAATCTGAGACCACTAAGATACTAACAAATAATATTTAAGAAGAAAAAATGTATAAAATAAGATGGTTTTATAATGCAATTAAAAGTTTGTGTATTATTTAATTTCAGTGAGATGTGTAAAAGTTCAAAGTACATCCTATATGCAAAATAATATTTATACATGTGCTGTAATTTTCATAAAGTGTAATGATTAGTGAAAAAATTAGTGAAAAAGTTTCAAATAGGTGTGAGATGAGAGATAAGAATAAAAGTAATAACATGAAGAAATTATAATAATACGAGATAATAATTTAAAAATTATTAAAAATATTAAAATAATTTTAATACAACGAATATGTTTGTCGAATACTCACAGTTGCTATGAGAAACCCGATACAACATATGATTATCGTATTCGACACAAATTGCATCAGAGCGATAAGAGAAAAAAGACTCTCGATATTGTCCGAAAAAGCAATAATTTTATGATGTTTATTAATTTAAAGACCTGATAATAACAGTAAACAAATCACGTTTGTCATCCTTCGAACAAATCTCTTCCATCTGCTGTTGCATAATATCTATTTGCCCACCAATGTGCAGCATCTACGCATATAATTATTCAATTATATAAGTGTTGAGTTGTAAATAAGTTAAACACACACTTGAACAGAAAGATAATGACAGAGATAATTTATTGCAAAAAATATTATGAAACCTAATCTATAATTTTCATTAATTTTTTTAATGAAAAATTTTTTAAATATAAAATATAACAAAACTGTCAATATTATCTACCTATACATCGAATAAAAAACACGAGAGAAGTCACAAAATATGCGTGTATACAATTTAAAAAAAAAAAAACGATTGTCTCTCTTTTTCAAAACCTTTTTTTCTACTCACATTTTTGAGACAAATGATAACATCAGGAATTCAAGGCGGAACGTGGTCACGTTGTAAGAAAAAAAGAAGAGAGGTGAAATTAATCGGAAGCACAATCACCCCACCCTTAAAGCTTGCACGAAAGATCCAACGTTCTATTGACATGCGCAGGATCGCGGATCGAAATGGGAAATTGAAAGATCTAGTAAGAGAAGGGATATATAAGACCCTCATAAGGGAGATACGATATAAGAATATGTGATCTGTGTAGCATCGATCGCTTTCGGGACCCGAATTGTTTAATCTTAATCTGATGCGTGCATTAATAATAATGCATGCGATCCGTATCGTACTACATATATTGTTGTGTATCGTTTTTTATTCTTTCACTGTTTCATAATATTTTATATTTTTCAAAATCAATGCTTCTTTTTTTTTGACAGATATATCCCGTAATAATCTCACTATCGCCGCATTATCATTCATTGTTTATTAATCAAAATTTAAAGAAGAAATGTTTGATGAGAAATATTTTACTTAAACTTTATCGATTAAGATTTTTATTATAAAAAAATATAAAAAATTTTAATAATAAAAATATCAATTAAAACAATCATATATAGTAGGCCAACTAAACGAGCAAATAAATAAGATGTAAAAAATTTTTTTATTAATAGTTAAATCATTAAATTAACATTCCGTTACAGAATCGATATAAATTGTAAACGTTTCGACTGCACTACAGTCTTTATCAATACATAAAAATTAAATATTAAAATATAAAGTTAGATGTTAAAATACAAAGTTAGTTAAATATTAAAATATAAAATTGAAACGATTCTTCGCTGTTGACCAATAGATATGCAAGGCGATTGGTCTGAGATGCCAAGTTATGCGACATTTGAGCATGCTACGGGTATAATACGCGAATTAAATCAATGTCAGAAAAAATTAAAAAATCTTTCAACTTACATTATCGTTTTAACAAGTCCTTTTCCCCGATATTTCAAGTGTGTGTTGCGAAGTCTGAATACCAAATGTCAAAATAGAGAGCGTGATGTATTTATTTATTACCAATGTTTTTTCTAAATTATGATTCAGCAAATTTTTTAAGTATGTCAAAATAACTACTGTCTAACAATTCGGTGTCTGTATTTAAATTAATTCCATTTTTCTGTTCTTTAATGTGGATCATTTCAGATATTAGTCTTTTTGGTAATTCTTTTCATGATCCATAATTTTAATATTGTCCCAGTCAAATGTATGTTGTTCGTTTAGAATGTGTTCCGTGATAACCGAATGTCTAGCAGAGTCTAATTTAATATTATTTTTATGTTCTTTAAGTCTCGTTCCTAACTGTCTTTTTGTCTGTCCGACATATGTGGCGTCACAATCGTTGCAATTCAATTTGTAAATAACGTTAGAATTCGTGGGGCAATTATTTTTGTCCTTTTGAACTCTTATGAAGTCATTTAATTTTTTAATGCAACGATATCCTACCACTACGTCAGGTCTTCTTATTGCTGAAGCAACTTTCTCAGATATTGATTCTATATATGGTATGACAAAATATTTAATGTTAGTATTAGTATTATTAGTATCTGTTATATTGTTATTATTAGGCTTGTTAAATTTCTTAGTTGAGAGATTTTTTAATCTGCGTTTTATTTCTGTGAAAATTAGATCAAGAGGATAACCGTTGGATAGCAAAATGTTAATAGCTTTCTCTATATTTTTTTTGTGAAATTGCGGATGTGATAGTAATAAAGCTCTATCTACCAAGTTATAAATTGTTCCTATTTTATGACAAGTCGGATGATTTGAAAAAAATGAAAGTAATCTACCTGAGAATGTCTTTTTGTGATACCAATCTAAATAAATTTTGTTATCTATTACTTTGATCATTATGTCTAAAAAGCTTATACAACGATTATCCTCCTTTTCTAGTGTAAATTGTAGTCTATCGTTATAATTGTTGAATTCGTTCAAAACATATGTAATATTGTCAGCGGAAGTGCATAAAATAATGTCGTCTACATAACGGAAATAGAAAGTCATTATAATATGAATTTAGTCTCCCAGTTAAATTAAATAAAAAAGTAGCTATACACGAATTCATCAAAGATATAGAAAGCAATTCTAACGGGATCAGAAATCTTACTTCGATTCGTAATGCTGCCATTCCACAATTTTCATTATTTTTAAACAATAACGACAAAAAAACGGACATACAAGAAAAATTATTTCACATGCATAAAGACACAATTAAATTAATTCTGCAATCAAAATCCTAATATTTTATTACCAGAGCAGATAAAGCAGCATTACAGTCGCACTAGAAAAAGAATTTATATAAAAAAAGTTGAGAGTCTCCTAGAAGACGATTCTACGTATACCATAGTTAAAAACAATCCATCAACAAAAATAGAAAAAGACCTCAATATTTGTTTAAAAAAATGGTTGAAAAAGACTTCATCAACAAAAAAGAATATTATTATTTATTTTCAAGCGACTCTCTTCTTCCTAAAGCTTATGGGCTCCCCAAGATCCACAAGAAAATATTCCTTTTAGATTAATAGTTTCCTCAATAAATACTTCTCTATATAATATTGCTTCTTTCTTTCATAAAATTTAAAAGATAGCCTTCCTAGAGCGGACAGTTTTGTAAATAACAGTTTTGATATATGCAACATTCTATCAGGGAAAACAATACAAGATACCGACATAATAGCTTCATTGGACGTTGTTTCATTATTTACTAATGTTTCCGTAGATCTTGCATTAAACGGTATCAATAATAGATGGCATTTTATAGAGTCACACAAAAGATTCCCAAAAATGAATTCATAGGTATGATAAAATTTATATTAACTTCTACATTTTTCACTTTTAATAACATAACTTACAAACAATTTATGGGACTCCTATGGGTTCCCCACTTTCTCCGATCATTGCCGATATAGTCATGCAGGACTTGGAAACATCAGTAATTAGTAATTTAAATTGCGAAATGACTTTCTATTTCCGTTATGTAGACGACATTATTTTATGCACTTCCGCTGACAATATTACATATGTTTTGAACGAATTCAACAATATAACGATAGACTACAATTTACATTGGAAAAGGAGGATAATCGTTGTATAAGCTTTTTAGACATAATGATCAAAGTAATAGATAACAAAATTTATTTAGATTGGTATCACAAAAAGACATTCTCAGGTAGATTACTTTCATTTTTTTCAAATCATCCGACTTGTCATAAAATAGGAACAATTTATAACTTGGTAGATAGAGCTTTATTACTATCACATCCGCAATTTCACAAAAAAATATAGAGAAAGCTATTAACATTTTGCTATCCAACGGTTATCCTCTTGATCTAATTTTCACAGAAATAAAACGCAGATTAAAAAATCTCTCAACTAAGAAATTTAACAAGCCTAATAATAACAATATAACAGATACTAATAATACTAATACTAACATTAAATATTTTGTCATACCATATATAGAATCAATATCTGAGAAAGTTGCTTCAGCAATAAGAAGACCTGACGTAGTGGTAGGATATCGTTGCATTAAAAAATTAAATGACTTCATAAGAGTTCAAAAGGACAAAAATAATTGCCCCACGAATTCTAACGTTATTTACAAATTGAATTGCAACGATTGTGACGCCACATATGTCGGACAGACAAAAAGACAGTTAGGAACGAGACTTAAAGAACATAAAAATAATATTAAATTAGACTCTGCTAGACATTCGGTTATCACGGAACACATTCTAAACGAACAACATACATTTGACTGGGACAATATTAAAATTATGGATCATGAAAAGAATTACCAAAAAAGACTAATATCTGAAATGATCCACATTAAAGAACAGAAAAATGGAATTAATTTAAATACAGACACCGAATTGTTAGACAGTAGTTATTTTGACATACTTAAAAAATTTGCTGAATCATAATTTAGAAAAAACATTGGTAATAAATAAATACATCACGCTCTCTATTTTGACATTTGGTATTCAGACTTCGCAACACACACTTGAAATATCGGGGAAAAGGACTTGTTAAAACGATAATGTAAGTTGAAAGATTTTTTAATTTTTTCTGACATTGATTTAATTCGCGTATTATATCCGTAGCATGCTCAAATGTCGCATAACTTGGCATCTCAGACCAATCGCCTTGCATATCTATTGGTCAACAGCGAAGAATCGTTTCAATTTTATATTTTAATATTTAACTAACTTTGTATTTTTAACATCTAACTTTATATTTTAATATTTAATTTTTATGTATTGATAAAGACTGTAGTGCAGTCGAAACGTTTACAATTTATATCGATTCTGTAACGGAATGTTAATTTAATGATTTAACTATTAATAAAAAATTTTTACATCTTATTTATTTGCTCGTTTAGTTGGCCTACTATATATGATTGTTTAATTTTGTTAATTTATACGAGCCTTTCATTAATTAATTTCAATTAAAAGAGTTGGATATTAAGAAAAACAAGTATGGTTTATTTAATTACCAATAATTTAATAATTTAATTTAATTTTTTTATTAATTAAGAAAAAAAGAAAAAAATTCAAGATCTAAATTCCTTAGCAAAACTCATATTATATGTTTATTACTTCTTTATTTATGCTACAATATTTATTACTTATCATAATCTTTGTCCATCAAATATCATTGTAAAGACATCTAATTAATTCGTTTTGCGTTCGCGTTTCATCTCAGCAAGTTTGAAAAATTATAAAATTATAAAAATCACAAATTGTAAAATACAAATAACACAGTAAAAAAGATCACAAATACTTGTCGATGACAACTTACCAAAGTAACGATTAATGCGTCCAGCATACTAATAGCGATAACAACCGCCATTAGATGAATGAATTGAACACACACCACGATTTCATAGATCGGCGAGTCGCAAAAAACGAAAGGGAATTCCATCTTTATAAGCAATTGGCGGCAATCGTCATTGATCGGCTTGTGAAAATCGATGGTCGCGATGCTGTAAAGCAATGACGCTATCGAATAAAGACCAATAACCAGTTTCGAACAACGATATGCAAGGATCGCTTTCTCGATCATGGTGTACTTGTTCGAACACTCGTACCAATCATTGGACATCGTCTTCAGAAGAGTGTTAAATATTCTGCAATACGATATTTCACAACATCGTACAATATTGATGTATGTTACATTTACAAGATGTAAAATGCATGGTTGGCCATTTACAAAAGAAAGTTAAGTTCAAAGTTAAAAGAAGCACGATTTTGACAAATGATTGCCACACACACACACACACACACACACACACAATTTGCTTTATTTTTCATCAAAAATAACATGTTTTATATAAATATATATAAATATACAATAGATTAATAGATATAAATATAAATATTAAAAAATAGTTTCAAGACCCAACACACAACTTAAAATTAAATTGCAAAACACTTAAAAATAAGCTTTGAAAGCAAGTATTTCACTTACCGTATTATCTAGTTCTGAAATATATTTGATATTTTTGAAAATAAATTAAAAAAATAAAAAAACACATACCGGTTATTGACCCACAAGATAATTAGCTTGAAAAAGAGAAGGCTGTACGGTAAGGTGGTACTTAAACCATCTATGAAATTCGGCAGCTCCTCGACGCTAAAGTGCGTCAGAAGATATCGATACTGGAAGATCAGTCCTGTTCCCATCACAATCGACCAGAGTAGTCTGAAGAAAATCGAAGAATTTGGCCAAATCCCAGTAAGACGGAGGCAGATTTCGACCAGTCGACTGATGGTGCTGGTCGGTATCATATCGCGGCTGTTTCAAGATTTCGTTTCCGCTTTCGAACGAATCCCGAGCAAAACTCCGCGCGATCGCTGCACGTTCACCGGAGGATGAGCTTCCGGATAATGGAGATCGGATGCGACCCCACTTGAACGGCCGCCGACCAATCGCGAATGCTAGACGTGTATTTTCGTCAGAGTGCTCAGGAATGCAAGAAAAAGTTGCTACGATCGAACGATGATTGCAGGCTTCGGGCGAGGAATCGGCGAGAGTGATGCTTGGTAACTTCTGGAACAGAAAAATCGCCTCCGCCACTGTCATTGCGGGTGATTTACTTTAAAAATTCAAGCGGAAATGGAGAAAAGCGCGATGCGTAAGGCGAGAGCATAAAAATCGTCGGAGTGACCATCGTCAAGAAAAGTTTCCGGGACAAAAGATAGTAGTGAATCTTCGCGGACGATCGGTAGAAATGCATAAAGAAGCGTATAACAGGCAAAGAGAAAAAATTGTCAAAATATATGCAATCTCGATTTATACATGTGCACGATTTATATAAAGTGATCGGAAATATTTCTTATAATATGTCAGGCAGCTGACACATTTATCCAATGCTTATATCTACATTTATTAAAGGAGAGAAAAAATTTCAATAAACAGCTGAAGTTTGTACGATGCAAAAGGTATAAACACGGTAAGATATGTAAATGCTGCTATATATTTTTAAATCATGAGGATACATTCAGCGTGTACATCTTTGCGTTTTGTTTTCGAAATTTATAAGAAAAATGTGAAATGTGTTATAAAGGAAAAGGTAATTAGAATAAAACACTTAAAAATAAAATATAATATTTTTCTGTTTTTTTAAGAGAATCTAGGATTAAAAATAAAAATCTTAAATTGAGATTTTATTTAATTGCTTGGTATCGCACCAAGAAATGTGTCCTGTGTATAAGGATTCAATTAAAAAAACAAATTGTCTTTGAAACTGATCGTCATACAAGAGAGCTCTTATAAGCTCGGAAAATTTAAATTTGTTTCAGAAAAATTTGCTAATTTCTTAATTGTTAAAAATGAAATATTGTATTGTATATTATGTGTATGTGTAGATTTCGTAGCAGATATTTTTTGCCGATTAAGACATTGTAAGCAACACTGATACATAAGATGCAGAAGCCTTTAAAGTCTGAAATATAATATTGATTTTATATAAAAACATATATGTATTAAGTAAGGAAGAATTTTAAAAAAAGATATACTTTCTAAAATAGCTTACATCTCCAAAAACTTGCAAAGACAAATCGTTAAATTTTCCGATTGTTAAAGTCAATCGTTTCTGTGATCTCAACATTATAATCAATAGAACTCGACTTTCATTGGGTTTTGCGTCATACCAAAAAGCTTCGTAAGCTGTATTTGCGATCAATTTGCTCTGTAAAAAAGAAGACTATATCATTAACAAGGAAAATTTAAATAAATTGCTATATATTTCGTAAAAAAGAAAATCAGCCCTTTTTAAGATTAATTATTTTGTTGAGTTTTGTATGATAAAACAACTTTTTGCAAAATAAAACTGATTCTTTAAATCACTAATATTTGTGAAAGATAAAGGCTTATTTAAATCTTATTATTTAGATATTTCTTATTAAACCTTATTGCTAAGATATTCTCCAGCAAAGCAAAAAATGAAAGCTTCCAAAGTGATAGCGATATAAAAAAAGAAAGACTTCAGCAATAAGGCGTATCCTTGATCGCTTGCAATAGACTAAAATATCGAACAGAGATCGTTATTATCAGACATATGCATACATTGTTTTATATTAATATAAAATATTCGTAAACGAGACTCACTGTCAAGATCGCAAATGCTATACAACAAATGACAAGTGTATTCGTAAGAAATTGCAACAGCGCTATGTAAGAGAAGAGCTTCTCGATGTTATCCGAAAACGCAATAAGATCTTGATGTTTGCGAATGACTGCGCCTGTTGCGTTTTTCCACGACTTGTACTCGCGTTTTCCTGAAAATAACTCGAACAATCCTCGACACACAATATCTATCTGGCCACTTACATGCAGTATCTAAAACCAAGGTAGTACTGTGTCGTAAAAGCAAATGGAGCTTTGCGGATCTTACGATTTAATGAGACGATTTAGCGAATCTTTACATTCAAAACATATATGATTGCAAATACAAGTCTTGATTTTTAACATCCAATTTTAGGTGAATTTGTCAAAAATTAGATAAGAATAATCATTTATGTTACTTAACAATGTTAATATGAATCTAAAAAAATTGAAAACTTACCAGTGTCATTATCAGTGCATTCAGCATCCCGATTACTGAAGCGTTGCTTAGCAGCTGAATAAATTGAACGAACATAACGATTTCGTATATAGGAGAGAATTCGTGAACAAAGGGAAATTTCATCTTAAGAAAGAGCTCCTTTTCACTGGTCTCAGCATTCGTATCCATATTATTAAGTTCTATTATTACAGAACTGTAGACTACGACGGCCATGGCATATATGCCGATAATCAACATCGAACATCGATGCGAAACATTCGTTTTATTCATCATGATACGCATGTTAAGAGCGATAGAGTCGCAATTGCGCCAATCCCGCAACATCGATGTTAAAATATCGTTAAATAATCTGAAAAGATTATCCTTAACACATAAACTAATGAATTAGACGTTCATCTAACTATGGTAGATTATGGGGAAAAAATCGCAGAACTCTGCGCGGATCTATCATCGATAAGGTACCTATAGTTTCTGAAAAAATCTTTCGTCGATCTTTTATCGACAAATATCGCCATGTACGATGAACAATTTAATAAAACACATTTTCAATCTGTACATCGAATAATGTACATATATATGTGTAACGAGATCTCTTACCTCTGATTCAGCCAGAGGATAATCAGCTTCAGACAAAGCAAACTGTAAGGCAACGTGGTGCTCACGCTGTCCACCAGATCCGGGAAATTATTAGTTTCAATGCAAGCGATGATGTATCTGAACTGAAACGTTTGTGCGAGACCTAAAGAGACTGTCCAACAAATCCGACATAACATGGCACGCGGGGAACCTGGCCAAATCCCGATGGCTCGCAGCCCGAATTCGACCGCAGGGTTCACGATGGAACCCATTTTACGTTAAGTTCCGATTAACGAGACCGACGACTCCTCTCCTCGGTACGTTTGACAATAAGCTCCCTTTTAATGGGCCGCCCTTAATGGTGGTCGTCGAAAAGTTACCACATTGTTACTAGTTTGATACAACGTATATAGGAAATCTCACCTACCTCGCCACGCAACGCCGAGTAATCCTCGTACTCCGGATTCCAGGAGGGGTCGTCGAGCCAAGCCGCGAGTCTTCCCAAGGTGGTCGTCAACCGTTCGGAAATTATTCATCGCACTATACGAGTGCGGTATATCATAAGAGAAGGAAACTACAACCGTATGATTTCAAACTTCTCGTCGACGAAAAAGAATAGATGTCGAAGTAATAAGTTTTTTAGATGTCGGCTGAAGGGCGCAATGTTATTTGCTTTAAAAATGCAGGGCGGTAAGCTTGCGCTTTCGTTACTGAGTTACGATCGAAAGCAAGACGGAGGACTTCGCGAAGAAGGGACTCGAAATGCGCATCGACACGAGCAATGATGCAGTGTTCCTTCGGCGCGACTAGCGTCAAGATGTGAGAAAAGAAATCGGCAGAATGTATAACAAATACATTTCTTATAAACCGAGATTTCTCGGCTTTTTTATTCGTTCAATAATATGAAGAATAACTATGTGTGAGTGCAGAGTACAGATTTTTTTCTCCATATCCAGTGTTCTCAATGTCTAATGCTACATGTGAAATGTTAAAAAAATTTATAACTACATGTGTAATATACATATACTTACATAAAATGAGCTTATTTATTATGACAGTGTTGATTTTTATTATAAATCACATCCATACATATAAAATTCTCCATATCATTGAACAAATAAATTTGTTATAAACCAAAATTTCGATTTTCTTGTACTTTTATCAATATTCACAGATTTATCTGTATCCTGAAAATAAATTAAAATGCAAACAAAATGAATAAAACTAAGAACAGAAAAGTATCTTTTTTTACACAATTTTTAAATAATTATATAAAATTATGTCTATTGTCACTGTTTAAGATAATGTCGAAATAATTATTGCATCGTAATGAGTGAATTTTAAACAGCAATCTATATACAATTATTGCAATTTTAATTTCAATATGTGTCGTATAACATCAAAACATTCATCAAAATAGAGTATCGCTAAAAGCGATGATTGAGAATTGTCCTGACAGCTACAACTTCCGAATGATCTAAAATTAATTAAAATATCAATTAATCAAAATATTTGACAATCAAAATTCCATTAAAATACAAAATTATTTTAACACAAAATTCGATAGAATATATCAAAAATATCACATGTCATATTTAGAATTATGTAATCATGTAATAAACTATCTCAAAATAATGTATAAAATAAGTAAAATGACAATCGCATAAAATTAAGGTCTTTTCTTTCAAGAAAAAATTTAACGCTCTTTAGTGCGGAATTAATTTATTATTTATAATAATAAGAGCGTTTATTTCCAGTAGCAAATGAATGAACAGTTCTAAATTGCAGAAGAAATTGCATGATAATTTCGTAAAACGATGCACTTTAGTAATAAGTTGCATTTTAATAATAAGTCGTTTTTCTTTGCCGACTTACGATTGCTTAGTGATTTCCTGTAATATATTATTTGCTTCATAGAAAAGTAATTGTTTATTTTTATCATCTAGGTCTTTGGACAAGCAAACGTACTTTCATTCCAATCTTCTGTCATTGTCGCAAAGAAATATTCTAATTGATGTTTCGGTCGAATTATATGGCATATATATATGTAAAATTTTAATATATAAAATAAACGCAATAAATTTTTCTTTTAATAAAATTATTCTGGAAAGAATCTTGAAATTTAATTTCTTATTTACGCAAAAAGCAACAATTTAAAGTTGAACATTCTTCGAAGAATAGTAAATTATGAAATATAGCAAAAATTTTGAATTTTTATATAATTTGAAAATTACTTTAAATTGTGTTGTCCTATAAAATAAACTAATTCTTTTGATCATAAAATTTAATATCTTGATCACTTTACATTACTTACATAATTGACTATGTATAAGCGATGTAAAAAATGATCAAGATATTAAATTTTAAGATCAAAGGAATGAATTATTTAATAAAACAAGATTTAAATTAATTCTCAAATTATATTAAAATTTATATTTTTATATATTTCACTTTTAAATTTATCGCCCTTCAAGAATGTTCAACTTTAGATTGTTCGTTAAACATTAAACTCAAAAATTGCAAGAAGTCCGGCAATGCTTGAAAACCCGTATAAATGAAGGGCTACCGATACTGAGTTGCATGGTGATCAGCAAATCATGCAAAAAAGATGCGTTGCATCAAGAATTTGTATGAGGAATCCATCGAAATGCCGATCAGCCGCAGAGTGAATTCCATCGGACCGCCGACGGTGCTCGTATGTAAGTATCGTTCTCTCTGTCTGCGCTTCTCGACAATTGATTGATCCCGCCAATTGTTACAGCCACTCACACGTATGTGCGACCGCTGTATTTCGCAGTTTTATCACGTCTTTACCTTTGAAGAGAGTTTCTTGGATCTTTCTTCATTGAGCGCGTCTGGCCATAAGTCATGTATACTACTGATGTCGGATAAAATCGTACGCTATATCGTAAAAATGGTCCATGAATAACTAATTGATCCCGAATGCAAAAGCAGCGAATAAAATATTGTTAGCATCACTAGATCAAAGACCATCGTATACGAAATGTATCTAAATGTGCAACGATCCTTAAAAAAAGGAATTCGGAGATAAAAAACGGATTGATTGTACGTATTTTATCAAAATTTTACGTCGCTCGTGATGCGATCGCGAGATATGGGCTTTTAAAAAATAAATTTGTTAAATCATCCTTCCTTCTCTCTCTTCTCTCTCTGTAAACTTGACAAATATATCTATAGATTATGAATGTAATAACGAATCGTTTATTTGGGGCATCTATTATACATAACGTTTGAGCAATATTTTCGTAAACTATGTAGATTTAAAACAGATTAATATTTACATCAATTTTGGAATGCATTGAAAATTAATTAAACAAAACATGAATTTAAACATGAGCCTGTTCGTACATATATCTCTATGCGTATGTAAAAGAGAAATATAATCGTCTCGGAAAGAAATACAACTTTTTCGAAATTGTTCCCTCAGTTTCGACGTAAAATGTGCAACGATAGTGAATAAATATTGTTGTGCTTGCGAATGAATTCACGTTTGCGAGAATTCTCCAGCACCTCCGGTCGGCTTTCACGATGCGACAATTTTACAAACTGCAAACGCGTGCCAAACGGCAAAAGAGAGAGATCCTCCCTTATCCCTTCGCTCCTATAAAGTTCATCAGTTATAAATTTTGTCCGTATCAACTGTAGAGTGGATGCGCTACTTCCCTCCGACGAGCGCAGATGTAAGATCGCGTATTTCATTTTATAAATGTATACATCACTGCCGTTTTGAGAGAATGTATCGCGTGATACAATCCTCGGAAGAGCGCGATGATAACGTCATCCTCTCTCCTAACTTTTGCGAGTGCGAAAATAAGAGAACACGAGAAACACAACGTAGAAATGTAA